TCGAGTTAGAGCAGGTCTGCACAAAAGGTTATTTATGTCCTACTTTGCTTTCTGTTGCGGCGATGACACAAGTGCAACTCAGGGAGGAATGGTTTACTTGATCTTATACGTCCACAGAGGGAAGTCAGGCAAGAAGTCAAGGCAGGAACTAAAGCAGAGACTATACAACACTGCTTACTGGCTTGCTCAGCTTGCTTTTCTTATACAACCCTGGACCACAGAACCCCAGAGGTGACACCACCCATGGTGGGCTGAGTCCTCCCACCACAGTGTTCTTTAATCAAGAACATAAATGTCCCATAGATTTCCCTATAGGAAATCTGCTGGAAACATCTTCCCAATTAAGGTTTCTTCTTCCCACAGGACACAGGTTTATGTCAACCTGATGAAAACCAACCAGCACTACATACGCCATACATACACGCAAACATACATACATAATAGGAAACTTTGCACTGACAAAACCATTTAAATAAGAGGGTATTTATGAGAAGCAGTACAGCTGTACTCTAGCCCAGTGATGGGAGGAAAGAATCCAGTGTAAACAATAGGAGGAACCGTGGGCAATGAGGAAAATGCCGCCATGATGGCCAGCTCTATAAAGCTGTAAGCGAGAGGTCACATGTGGCTAGATTTTGTTGGAACCATTTGAAGACCTGGCCTCCAGCTGCTCATCCCTGCTAGTGATCTTTACTTTCCTTCTGATTTGAGTTACTGAAAGCTGTGTCAAAGTTGTTTACCAGCTCTGCCCCAAGAGCACGTAATAACATAGCCTTGAGGATCAGAGGATAAGGTTTTCACCTGTCGGCCCACCTGACTGTTGGGTATATAAGCCTCCGTGGTGCTATTGAATAAAGGGCTTCTAACCAGTGACTTAGAGGTTTGTGTCTCTACCTCTCTGTGTGTCTTTGTGTGTTTCGATCTCCAGCCCCTTGCCCAAAGCTCGCGAACTGTATAGTAGCACATACAGATACTTCAATAAAACAAATAATTAGAAATAGAGAGGTGAGACTATTAGACAATAATCAGCAGCTTTAGACTCGCTCCAACCTCATTATTTTTTCTTCCCAGTCCCCAGCCCACATTCCTTTACTGCCCTTACCCTGTGCTGTGCAGCAGTTTCCTCTGAGATTGAAACATTCCATCTTGCAAGCAAGCCCCTTAAAACCAAAAGGCAAACGATTCAAAGTTGTTACAGGAAGGCCCTGAAACCAAGGAGGTCCTTCCCTCCCAAGAGTAAACAATACAGACTGCTCAGAGTCCTTCTCAGACAAGCCAAGCTGCAAGACCAGACCAGTTGCTTAGAATAATCAGAAACTACCCAAGCATCCTGGAGAAGGTCTAGGCAACTGAATCACTTGAAAAGATACTCTCCAACCCTAACCCACAGAACTGCCAGCAGGCTGTGCAGTGTGGTTTAGGTCCCCAGCTTTTATAAGCTGGAACTCATGCTGGAGTAGGCTTTGTTGATGCAACGGTCTTTGGTCATTTTTGCTCCTCTAAGTAACCATTGTATTCCTGGGGGTAACCCCAATAAAACTCATTGGTTTACCAAGTTGGACTTAGCGGTATCTGTACTTTGGTCTGTCATGGGATCCCTATATGGAGTGAGTAGACTTGTGTATTGTGTTGCCCAAGGAATTCATTATAATTCTACACAACACCTTAATCTTTTCAATTTTATTCCCATTATGGTGTCGGTGCTGCAAATAATTTATAATGCTTAATCATAGAAACTGACTTAAATGAACAGGATGGGTTCTATGGACTCATGTGTCACAGTCTCATGGCTAGATAAGCAAGGCTGTGCTAGAAAGAGCCAGAGCAAGCTATGCTATCGTAAAGTCGCCAGTGAGGAAGCACTAGCCAAATCAGTCTGGGGCTCTGTCACTTAGCCCTCGAGGGTGACATACTCGTTCCTTTGTCATTTCCACGGTCTGGATTTTCTGTTTCTACCTCACTGTCCTTAACATATATCTCTTCTTCAAGGGCCACCTAAATACATTTTGGGAGATAAATGGACTACAAATAAAGAAAGTAAAAGTATAATAATAATGATAGAGCTTCTATGATAATGGCTCTAGTCCTATATATGGCAAGGGCTGAGGCAGTTTATACTCCATTTATAGTCCTTTCCCCAAAGCACAGAGGTAATTAGTATTTCCCAGTACCAGTGTGTCATGCTCTGAAATTATAGGAAGAGAAAGAGAGAGAGAGATTTTTCTCATTGGTTTCTGTACATATAAAATAAAGTTAAACTTATTTCTGCACTTGAGAATGTTGCCTGGTTTGACCCCTTAATTTGAGCACTTCCCTGCTCTTCTTCAGGAGTGGCAGTTGCCTGGTGCACAGACTAGTTCCTGGTAGCCCTTCCAGATCCTCTACACGCCACTCTTTTGGACTGCCTCAGTGAGCATCTTTTCCTCTAGCATCTGTTCTAAGATGACCCTGAAGGTTCTAATGAAGCCCTGGAGGGTGGAATGAGAATTAAGTGATGGATTTATCCCCCTGGATCCCCCTATGCCAGGTTACAAGTTAACTGAACTTCTCTCTCAGATGTCACACTGCTGAGAGGTCCTTCTGTCCTGTCCTGACTGCAGTGATGGGCTTTAGCTTCCAGGGAGTGTTCCCTCCCCAGTCCCGCACTACAGTGATTGGCTCTAGGTTCTACAGAGAGCTCCCTCCCCTTCCCTCTACAGGACTAGGTGTGGTAAGGAGAATCCCAAAGTGTCTTATTAGAACTCGTCTGTTTCTCCCAGGCATGCTACAGTGTATCGAATGGTGGCCCCAAAGTGATATGTCCACATCCAAACCCCAGACAGAAAGTGCCACAATCACCATATTGGAAAAAAGACCTTTGCAGGGATGATTCAGTTGAGGACCTTGAAATGAAGGAGTAATTCTTAGCTGGCTGGGTGGGCCCTAAAGTCGGTGATGATTGTCGCTATAAGGAAAAGGTTAAAGGAGATTCGCTCTGATGGTGTGGGAAGGACAGAAGATAACAGGAAGAAAGAGCCTGCAGAGATAAAGTCATGAGTCAAGGACGTCCAGTGATGCCAACAGCTACTAGGCCCGGAAAGGATTTCCCATTGAGCTCCCAGAGGTAGTACAGTCCCCGGAAGCTTCAGTCCCAACTTCTGGCCTGCAAGCAAGGAGAAGATGCATTTATCTTGCTGTAAGCTATCAATGCCGTTGTGAATTGCGACAGCAGACTTGAAAAACCTATGCACCTGCCTATACCTTTCTTTATACAGAGACCCTCTTAAAGCTCTTGCCAATTACAGATTGCGCGCTCCGCTCCTCCAGTCTCCTGGCAAGACTAGGGGGATTTGTCTCATCGCCACACCTCTCAGCTCTAACGGTGTCCTGGTAACAGAAAATGAAAGTCGGTGTTTATCGCGCTCATTCTTATTAAATAGGCTTTAACTTTAGAGACGCTCATCGCTTTCTTCTCAGCGTGCGTTAGGTCTACATGAATAAGATGCTATCATGGGGGATCATGGGGATAGGCTCTGTGGTAAAGAATTGCCATTTTAAAAATGTTTTGTGAAAGTTATTGCTCAGTGGGAGTTATTTTAAAATAAAACTGTCAGTTTCATGAATAACCATTTTTATTGCTAATTTCCACAACAATGGCTCTCATAAAGAATACAATCACTAGGTGGCCTTCTAAAACAATCGGCACTAGAGGGGTCCTAACAAGACAGTGGCGCGACTGTTGCTTATTTTCAGAAAGAGTCAGGGCACATTTGCTCTGAGAGAAGAGCGCTAAGACCAATCATAAGAGCTCCAGGTGAGCAAAAGGTGGGAGAAAAAGCAGAGCACCCTGGGCGGCACGAGGGGGAGCCAGGTGAGTTCCTGATACTGAAAGCCCTGCTTTTCAACAAGAGCTCCAGAGTTCAGAGCCATAAGTGCTAATTAAAGAACGCAGGCCTGGGGACTTTCAGGAGAGTGCCTGGGACACAAGCCAGCTCAGGAGGGTCTGCTGACTACTGATAAGGGTCTAGGGTGCTGGGTCAACTTCCTAATACACAAACACTGCCTTTTTCAGAGCAGTGGCTTTGGTCCTGGCTCCGCACTTTAACTCCTGGGAGCTTTTAAATGTTGCCAGCACAGGAAGGGCCATCCCAGACCAAGCAGGTCAGGGGTTTGAAGGAATGGAATCCAGGCAACACCAATGTGGAAATGTTTCTAGGGTTTTCTAACGCACATCCACAACCGACAGCCACGGCGGAGGGGTCGAGCGAGCAAGTCAGCCTAGGCTCAACTCCAACACACTTGCTGTTTCCACAGAAAGAGCTCTTGGAAACAGCTGCATCCATTTGCCGACCAGGCTCCTGTCAATGGTCACTCTCAAGTTACAGCAGTGGGGCGGAGTCCTTGCCAAAGGCCATGTGACCGCGAAGATGAAAACAGTAAGTCTCTAGCTCCTTCTAGAATGAATGCCCAACTCTTCATGGAAAGCGTCACTACTATTTAGCTTTACTGCCTTCAATGTTTTTTTTAAGGACTATACCTTTATAGTTGGAAGCTGTCTTGTATGTTTTAAGGCCCCTTACGGCATCCTCCACCTTTGCACTATGTGGCAGTAGGACCCCATCACACCCAGCTTTGATAATGAAAATGCCAAATATCACATGGTGTACAAATTACCCCAGCAGAGAAACATACTCTACCACACTGAAAAATGGATAGTGGCTTGTTGTTGTTCATGGTAGATAGTTCTAGAAAAAGTCACTACACACAGATTAGTGAAAGCTTAGCCATGGTGCCTAAGGGAAATACAGCATCAATGCATTCCTCATTCTCACAATTTCCTTAATCGATCAGCTCACACTCCTGCTTTCTGCATTATTTAAAGTTGTATTCAATACGCATTTCCTTAAAGTAATTAGATACAGCGTTTCATTATAATAACATATCAGTCTAGAGGAGGTTAACATTTTCCTCACCTAGCCAAACGTACTGTAAATTTCGTAGGTTGTAGCCTCCCTACTTACAATCACTGAACGCACAAATCCAGCCACTTTCCATAGCTTTATGGCTCACTAGGGATGGTGCTTGAGCCCCGCTTAGCATAGCCTCATGTGCAGATCGGTCGACTTCCCCTTCATTTCTCCAAAAATGTAATATCTCTGGTTCATTAGCACCGCACCCGCTGCTGACAGTGTAAACGCACGGCTGGATGAAGCTTGTGACACTTGGATTGTCTCCGCGCCCTGCAATACAGTCGTCTTGCCACTAGGAACTCTAGACAGCCTTTTAGCAAAATCCTTAGGGTCACGTTGAAGGTGGATGTCACCAATTAAAAGCACAAACCTGAAACACGAAAGAAAGAGGATTTAAAAAGGCAATAAATAGCAAAAAAGGGCAGCATGGGCCAGATGGAGCAAGCAGGCAGAGTCGTGCTTTGTGGGCAGGGACTCAAGCTCATGGCCACTCTTCAGGGGTCTGCAAATGAGGCGAAAGTGCCCCAAATGTTGATTTGGGGATGACAGAGAAGCTGAGTAGATGGACGGATAGTGAAGATGTGAGGGTCTAACACCAAATTGTCAGAGTTTATTGATCACGTTCTTATACATAGGGCATTTGGTAAATAGTTATGTGATAGATTAAAAAGTAATGAAGCAAGTGTTCAAATATGCCATGGTCTTTTAAACTTAACAATTCATAGGTGCTACATAAAGAATAGGATGATGTTTTCAGAGTCTTCGTGATCTTTTTAAAGAGATCTTGTTATGTTTATTTTATGGGTATGGTAGCCTGCATGTATTTTATACACCACGTGTGTCTGCTGCCCTTAAAACCAGAAAAGGGCACCAGATCACTGGGAATTAGAGCTACAAGTAGTTACAAACCAGTATGTGGGTACCAGGAGCTGGAGTTGGATCCTTTGCAAGTGTTTATGTTCATAAACACTTAGCCATCTCTTTGGCCCAGGTCCTAGTGGTTTTTGTGAACCGCGCCATGCTATCCAAAGAAGTTTTCAACTTAGCAACTTGTTAAAAGTGTTACAGTCACAGATGAAACCCCAAAAGTGAGTGGAGAGTGACCAGTGAAAGGCGGGAAGGATGCAGGTTGGCTTTTGCTCAAGAAAGTTTGGAGCTGTGACCCTTGTTGGAGCATGTGTTCCTCATGTTGTGGTGACCCCCAGTCATAAAATTATTTGTGTTGATACTTTATTGTTGTCTGAGGCTGCTTGCTCATTTCTTGGCCACACAAGACTCCCGAAATAATCATACAGAAATCTGTTTCAATTGCAATACTGCTTGGCCAATAGCTTAAGCATATTTTTGGCTAACTCTTATATGCTAAACTAACCCATCTTCATTAATCTGTGTATCGCCACGTGGCTGTGGCTTATCAGGTAAAGTTCCATTCCTGTTGTCTGTCTCCAGAAGGGCTACATGGTGTCTCTGACTTAGCCTTCTTTCTCTATGTATATCTCTTCCAGCCTGGCTGTATTCTGTTAATTGACCAAAAAGCAGCTTCTTTATTAACCAATAAAAGCAACACATACACAGAAGGACTTCCCACACCACTTTGAAACTGTCATTTTGCTACTGTTACAGATCATAATGGAACATCTGTGTTTTTCCATGGTCCTAGGGGAACCCTGTGAAAGGTTTGTTCGAGCCCAGAGGGATCATGACCCAAAAGTTGAGAATCACTGGTTTAGAAGATAGAAAGCCATCACCCATCCTGACCTATACAGTTCTGATCAGACTAGGCTAGCCCTTTTCCCTCAAGAAGAATAAGAATAGCCTCTGAGACTCTTCATGGATGGTAACTGCACTTCACATGGGACCTTGGACCAATAAACGGTAAATTTCAGTGTTCCACATGTCACCCAAGGCTGTCTGTACTACCTGGAATACAGATATCATTTGAATGCTTCTTATTCTCTTGACAATTATTTTCAAACATAGCCAAGATAGTGGTGGCAGCCACATGCGGAGACCTAGCCTCTTAAAATTATCATAGCTGAAATAGGGTGTCTTGTTATTATTCTAAGGGATTTTTACATAAAAATGGATTTAACAACTTATGGACAGGAAGGATTATCATCCTCCTTATCTTGTAGTGAGGAAACTGAGGCACAATGGAGGTTAAGTGACAGAATAAAAGAGTAGATTACTGAATTTACTCTGAAAAGAAAAAAAGGGAAAATATAAATATGATAAGAAAAAAAGGTAGATTATTGAATCTGATTTTAAAAAGCAACTACTAGTTTTAAATGTTTCAGCCAATGGCTTAGTAAAGAGTAAAGCCAGGTGGGAAATCTGAACAGAGATATAAAGAGAAACTAGGCAGAGTCAAAGAGATGCCATGTAGCTGCCGAAGGATAAAAACGCCTGGAACTTTACCCAGTAAACCATAGTATTAAGATTTAAGAGCTAGCTAGAAATATGCTTGAGGCATTGGCCAAACAGTGTTGTAATTAATATAGTTTCTGTGTTATTATTCAGGTCTGGGCATCTGGGAAACAAATGAGTAGTTTCTGTCTACAAAAAGACTAGACATTGCTGATGTATTTATTGCCTTCATATATTGTATATAGTTATTGTACTTATTGTGTATAGTTTTCTTATATTAGTTATAGTCTTCTTTTTTATTTTAGACAAAAAAGGAGAATTATAGTGTTATGTCATTTATGTTTGTATAAATAAAGCTTGTCTGAAGGTCAGGGTAAAGCAACCACACTAGTCAACCATACAGGCCAGGCAGTGGTGGCACACACACCTTTAAACCCAGCAGCCACACTAGTTAGCCATAAAGGCTGGACAGTGGTGGTGTACGCCTCCAATCCCAGCACTAGTGAGGAATATAAGGTGAGATGAAACAGGAACTCGCTCGCTTTCAGTCTGAAGATTTCAAAGAGATAAGAGTCTCTCTAGTGACTTGGCTGCTTTTCTTTTCTGATCTTCAGGTTGAACCCCAATATCTGTCTCTGGGTTTTTTTTAATTATTCATGCCACAGTTAAGTAGCTTTACCCTGTGACCACGCAGCAGTTCAGTGTAGGCTCCATAAAAGCAACATGAAGGTAATGGTTGCAGCAATGAGTGTTCTAATTAGCACCGTTGTGGCGATCATTTCAAAAGGAAGGTAGATAAAAAAAAATCACATTTCACACTGAACATGCATGTCACCGTCATTTGTCTATAGCACCTCAATAAAGCCAGAAAAATTAAGTAACTAAGCAAAGAGCCAGTGTAATTCTGACTCCAGACCAGAACCTACCAAAAGCAGGTGTATATGCACTGTCAAGAGACTGTGCTATAGCTTCATGCAATCAGCAAATTCATCTTGCATTAGATTTCCTGAGTCTGCAGACCTATTAACCAATTAGTAGTATTTGCAGATCATCTGGCTCCCGGATACTCATAAAATACAAGATTTCAGTGCCCTTGGGGAGTCTGTAGATAGGCTACCAGAGCCTATGAGAGAGATTTACTCTTGTCTGTGTTGTCTTCATCTCTTATTGTGTCGTCTTTGCTCTATCTCACTAATGTTACCTCTCAAAAATTGGTTAGCGCATGCGACCTAAGGTATGACTGATTTAATAATTTCATAAGTCAAGGGACAAGAACAAGACAAGTTGAGAGGCGCTCTTTCCTTCAGAATGGGGTTATCATTCTGGAAATCTCAGAAGGTGCTGTGGCATGAATGAAGAAACCAATTGTTCCGACAAAGACATACTTTATTACACAGAAACAAATGACTTCAGAGCAAAGAGAGCTTCCGACTGTGGCTGCCAGAAGAGCCCAGAAAACAGATTCTGTTTGGCTCACAACAAAATTAATCATGTGCAGAATGGTTCGATCGCATCGACGTTTCTTATCTAGTACCTGTGGCTGCATATCCGTTTCAGTACAGAAACAAGCAGACGGGAAGGCAGGGATGAAAGGGATGTCTACATTTTTGTTCACAGTTTAAGACAGAAATTTGATGAGGAAAAAGAAATGAGGAAAACAGGCCTATCAGAATGTTGATACTGGAGGAAAAGAATCTGTTTTGTAGGTTGATTTATTAAGGGGACTAGGCTAAATGAACGCAATTGGTACCAGGTGCTGTGAAAAGGCAGGTCTGGGGAGAGCCTCCTAGAGAAGTGAGGGCTGTGAACTGGAGCCTGGGCAGCAGAGAACACAGGCAGATGACAGCGAAGGAACAGTCATTGGGACACCACTTCTGTCATCTTTTCAAGCCTGCTCCAATTTTCAGCTTTCTGATTATCTATTATCTATGTGTCTATCTAAAATCTATCTATCATCCATCTATCACCTATCTAAGAATCTATGTATATATGTATGTATGTATGTAGGTACCTACCTACCTACCTACCTATCATCGATCTATCTGTCTCTCTATCTAGGATCCATGCACATACATGTGTGAATGCATACATGCAGAGATCACCAGACAACTTAGGCTGTCATTTCTCATGCTTTTCCATGTCAGGATTATAAGCTTCAACCACCACAATTGGCTTAAAGACAAACAAACAAATAAGCAACAACAGAAAACAAAACAGGGGTCCTGAGGATCGAATTCTGTTCCTCATGCTTGCAAGGCAAACACTTTATTGACTAAGCTATCTTTCCTGCCTGACTTTCTTATATTGGAAGGAACTAAAATAAAAGCTGATGGGAAGCAATTAGCAGAAAATGAACAGAACGATAGGTACTGGTTTGTTTTCTCTTTAAAGCTGTCTAACCTGACTTGACAACAATAGAATTTGAACTCGGTGTGTGGACGGGGTGGGGGGTTGTCACTACTGTGTACCTTAGATATAAGCTAATTCCACTGGAGCAAGAAAGAAGTCATTGGGATGAGTAAAGCCTCTTAAACACCATTTCTTTCTAGTCAAATGTCTCCAGACACTTAACATCTGCATTTACACTTTTAAAACTTGAGACTATTCATAGAAAATATTGATAGTATATGCTATAATGGTATGACTTGACATTATGCTAGGATAGCTAATGCCACAGAAAATAGGAAATATATTTGTCTCTTTAATCTCTACTTACTATTTCTTTACATTTAAATTCATGAAGGATGTCTACAGGATTAGACACAAAGTTTAAGAGATGTGCAGAGCTTCTCCATTCATAGAGTAAAAAGTAAAGTAGACGTGTGGGTAGGTTCTGAAATGGAGTTGCTGAGCGAATAAGGGACACTCCCAGGTCCTGCATCTTGTTAAACATAGTCTCATCTGTCTGGCCCGGCTGGGGTGTGGCCTCAGAGGGACTAGAACAGATGACGACACACACGCCTGACCTCTGAGGAAACCATCATTCTAGCAGTGTCTGGAGTA